TTTGTCTCACCCTGCACGCTGCACGCTGCTCTCCATTTTTTCTGCATGCCCTAATTTGCCTTACTTCACCTTAATTAGTGATTTGGGCTCAATAGGCCCAATTTGTCCAAGCCCACATATGGGCTGGACCCAACAAGTACGATGGGTCAAGGATAAAACCTCTTCGATCGAGTATTCATTAAGAGGATTGATGGATGAGTGTTCTTATAATATTGGGCTCTTTTTCGTGCCAAAAATATTATGGAAAGATGTCATTAGTATCCTAGTAAGCTTGACGTCATCCAAACTCATGTGCACAAGGTTGTCCAAGGTGCCTTTGAGGTGTAAATATCAAACTCCCGGGATATCACTTGCATGAAGATTGAGGTCATGAGAGGTTTCCTAATCCAATCCATTCAATGCTCAAATTAGTAACTCGAGATAAGTATGTATGAACACGAGTAGTGAAAAAGTGATCCTTTATGACTGTGCTAAAAGTATATTTTTATATTTGCTCGTAAAAGGATAGAATATTCAATAAAATTTTCTAGGATGAGACAACCCTCAACCACCTCTAACAACTTTCCCTTGATCTTTTTTTATGTGGGTGACAAGGTAGAAGATAACTTGTTGCTTACCTTAGACCCATGTCCACATGGGTAAATCAGTGGGTGATAGCTTTTGTCTTCTTCTTTTGGTTTGGATGTCACACAAAGATTACATGTTGGATGATAATTGATTGACAATATTTTTTTTTATCAATTAATATATATATATATATATATATATATGTATATATATATGCTAAACTATAAAATGGGACATGCAAGTTCATTACATAATATAGATATCTAAAAATTAAAATATTTTTTATTTCTAATTTAAAAATTATGATTCATGCACTCACGAAAACCCATCCCATCATAATCTGAGTTCTAGCTTTGTTTTGACAAAAGCATCAGAGTTATGGACCAAGAATTTTATTTAAAAATTGATATTAAAAAATGATGATAATGTTAACCAAATTTAAATTAAATTTATTAAAACTAAAGATTATATTTTTATTGTAAAATATAAATAACGAAGACAGGATGCAAACATGTGATCTTGTGATAATCTATAAATATTTACTAATTAAGTTAGTTGAGACTTGCTAGGATTAGATGAATCAGTGATATCAAATCTCATTTACCGTGGTATTGCTGCCAGATGATGATGCAATATATAGCTGTTGCAAACATTTACACACCTTTTCCTTAGAACAGTGGTTCCATTTTTTTGATCTTATGCTTTGAAATATAGGAGAGACTTTAGTATTTGTTCCCTCGTATCTTCCTTCGTCATTCTTTTATGCAACTGTTCATATCCGATTCAACAATGTAATAAAATTTTATTATATCCAGAGTATGATGAAATAAGATTAATTAGAATAATACTGTATAATACATAATTATCTTTAATATATCTATTTTTTTATTTTTGATCACTTAAAAGAGGATTTTTTTTTCTCGAAAATTCCTAATCTCTAATGGACTTCCAATTGGAACTCTAATAGGTTGGCAAATATTTTTTAGAGTTATAATATGATTCAAATTACTTAAAGAATAAGATTATTTGGAAGACAAGAAATTGAAATTTGGAAATAAGTGTTGTGAATTAGGATTTGATTTTATATCATATAATCATGAGATTATCTATTAGAAGTTCCTCACAATCTATGTGAAGTAATATATATGGCATTTTATGCTGCCTGAACCATGCCAATCTTATACGGCTAATTCTGATTTATGTGTAACTATTAATGTCTGTGTTTATTCTTTTTATATTAAGATTTTTTTTCTTTCAATTATATTAATTATTTATTCATATCAATATTATCATGATATGATCTTTTAATTTCGTTGAGTCTGAATCATTGATTAAAATACATAACCTCTCAGATTAAAAATAATATATTTATTAAATTATTATAACTCAATCCTAATCTTCATGTGTGGATGTGGAATTGGCTGCGCAAATTTTGGAATATTTTTCCCCTCTTCTTTTCCTATAATGCAACTAACTCTATTCTTTGTCGTGTTTATGAAATGATTGGTCAACTAAGTAAAACTAGTTGCTTCCAGATCAGTAATCACAAGCCCAGAATTGTGAGATCTTTCGCTTGGATCGTACATTATCGAAGTCAATGCTCGAAATCATTAGTTTAGCTCGAGATAAGCATACAATTTTCCACCATTTATTATTTTCTTCATAATATCAGTGCAGACAGTGGAGTACATACATACGCCTCATTATTATATGATGAACAGGCTGGTCGTCTCCTAAAAGAAGAGGAAGAAAATGGCATCTTCTTCATGGCTTGGAAGCCAAGTAGAATTAAGCTTCAGATAGGGACTGCTTACTTGCCGGCAACTCCTCCTTCCCTAACAATACAAAAGCATGCCTTCCTGCAGGGTCAATCTGAAGGTGGAGAAATTGGATTGCCATTTGGATTCTGTGGAAATGTCCAACCACTGCTCGATCACACATGTATCAATCACCAGCTTCTCTGATCTTGGATCTGTTCACTCAGCCATTCGATGGAATAATGAGCGAAACACTATGGATTTGATTTTGTATTTATATATATATATACCTTTTTTTTGTCTCTCTTAATTGAATTCTTGAGATGCTTCAAGTCACTATCGAAGAACAGCCAACCGTTGAGATGTGTTCTTCAATTTTCCCGCGTCCCTTTCTTCCTCCCCTCACCGAATACATTGCTTCAGAACAGAGGAATTAATATAGAAGGAAAACGGAAGAAAGAAGAAGGAATGGGAAGATCTGAGAGTGATACAAGTCTTTTATTTTTGCTGTCCGCCTATCTTCGCCAACAAACCAGTTGGTGAGCGATCAAACAATGGACGCTCCGGTCTTCTTCTCCATAAAGACCAACGAGTCACCTCCTGCTTCCTTCGCTCAAGCTGGTATTTTGGCGACGTGGGTTGCTGGGGATGGAGCTGAACCGAACCGAGCTGCGTTGTGTTCTTTCCATCACCGTCGTCCTGCTGTTGTCGTCTCATGCAGGTTTCGTTTTTTATCTCAGACAGTCGTGAGGTGAGTTGAGCATCAGCTTTCTTGGGTTCCGATGTTGTTTGGTATTCATGGAACAGTGGCTTATGATCCATTGGACCCGACCGGAAACATCACGATTAAGTGGGACGTTATGTCATGGACGGCTGATGGATATGTGGTAAGTTTCTGCTCATCTCTACCTATTTGTTTGAAGTCATACATCGATTCTGTGACCGCAGGCGGTGGTGACGATGAACAACTTCCAAATGTACCGGCAAATAATGAGCCCGGGGTGGACCATGGGGTGGACGTGGGCGAAGAAGGAGGTGATCTGGTCCATGGTGGGCGCTCAGGCCACCGAGCAAGGAGACTGCTCCAAGTTCAAGGGCAACATCCCCCACTGCTGCAAGAGGACGCCCGCCGTCGTCGACTTGCTCCCCGGCGTCCCTTACAACCAGCAGATAGCCAACTGCTGCAAGGGAGGCGTCGTCGCGTCCTACGGCCAGGATCCGGCCGCCGCGGTCTCCGCCTTCCAGGTGAGCGTCGGCCTCTCCGGCACCTCCAACAAGACGGTGAAGCTGCCCAATAACTTCACCTTGCTCGGCCCTGGTCTCGGCTACACCTGCGGACCTGCGAAGGTGGTGCCCTCCACGACCTTTCTCTCGGCCGACAAGCGTCGAAAGACGCAAGCTCTCAGTAAGTTCGTGTCTCGTCCACTCATTTAAGCTTTTAGATTACAGCAGAATGATGGATTCTAGAGCTGCCATGCAGTGACCTGGAATGTTACCTGCACCTACTCACAGTTTCTGGCCTCCAAGCACCCATCCTGCTGCGTCTCCTTCTCGTCCTTCTACAACGACACCATTATCCCTTGCCCCTCCTGCGCCTGCGGCTGCGAGAACAAGAACTGCGTCAAGTACGTACATACTCCTCCCCACCCCGTCTTCAAATCCCCGATCCCCAATCTCTCATCCATCCTTCCACCCACTCGACCCTGGCACAGGAGCGACTCCAAGATACTGAGCACGCCGGGGATCAACACGCCCAAGAAGGACAACACGCCCTTGCTGCAGTGCACCCACCACATGTGCCCCGTCCGCGTCCACTGGCACGTCAAGCTCAACTACAAGGATTACTGGCGCGCCAAGGTCGCCATCACCAACTTCAACTACCGCTTGAACTACACCCAGTGGACGCTCGTGGTTCAGCACCCCAACCTCGACAACGTCACCGAGGTCTTCAGCTTCGAGTACAAGCCCCTCGTCGCCTACGGCTCCATCAGTAAGTCGAGAGGGGTTCCCCTTGGGAGGTTTCGCCCAAGGACGAGTCTGAGACGTACTTTCTTCTCTGCAGATGACACGGGCATGTTCTACGGGATGAAGTACTACAATGATGTGCTCATGGAGGCCGGCGCGTATGGCAACGTGCAGTCCGAGGTGCTGCTCCGGAAGGACGCCGACGCCTTCACGTTCAAGCAAGGATGGGCGTTCCCTCGGAAGGTCTACTTTAATGGCGACGAGTGCATGCTGCCGCCGCCGGATGTGTACCCCTACCTGCCCAACTCTTCCCCTGTCAGCGCTCGGGTCATCCTGCACAACCTCGCGGCGCCCCTGCTCGCCCTGCTACTGCTACAGATGGCGGCGCCATGGTAGACTTGGAGAAGCTCTCATCGATCGATGACTCCAAAGTTTTGGGCAGTGTATGTAGATGTGCTCGATGTTTTGCTAGTTGTGAGGACCTCAGCAGGATCATGTCAAATTAATGGCCAATTCAATACAAAGATCTACTGACCTTGTTTGTTGAAGACATGCTCGATGTTGAAGACCTGTTTAAAAAAAAGCCACGACGAGCTTCAGACAAGAAATTTACATATGATGATGAAGGAATGAGAAATCACTAAGAACCTCTCTACACCAAGTAATCACTCTTTCAATTCACTCTAAAACTGCTTCTCAGCTGCAGAAAAGACAAAAGTCTTCCACCAGAGGAACAACTAATTATCTGCTGTTTAAGTCTCGGGTCAGAATCTACAAGAAATTAATATTCCGGTTGGAAGAAAGGATTTTATTTGTGTACATCGTAAAAGGTAATACATGCTTTTGTACAAGTAGAAAGGGCTTGTGACTCAAAGCCTCAAGAGAGACAGTGGAAAACACAAACAGCATAATGCCCACAGTTTCTACAATCATTCTCAAACGATCTGCTGAAAAATTCTAAAAATACATAAAAAGAACAGGAATAAGTAGAGTATTGAATGCATTTTGTTGTTTATGAATTTGTAGAGAAGAATCAACAAAGAAATGTAAAAGTAGCATTGCATGTTTAATTTATATTTTCTTTCTCGTGAAGAATATATATACAAAGAAAACCTGAGGATTTTATCTAAGAATCAAGATGTGCAAGGCTTGTGATGCTTGATGAGTATTTTCCTAGTCTCACCATCATATTTGCAGAGTTGCATAGAATCAGCACCCATTAAATAACGCACCTCATCGAAGCTTTTAAGCAGGCTATGTTTTAAAGTACTGCAAAGAGGACAATTTTACCAATGTAAATGGAAGTTAAAACACAAATGCTTACCTTTCACTTTGGATGGGTTAACACTATGCGCTCTGATATGGCAAGAAGGTATTGGAATCTCTCTGAATTGTGCTCAGAGAATTTTCTCCCTCGGCAAGCTCTTCATGTTCCACATTAGAGCATAAGCGACGTGAAAGCATTTCATTCGTTGGAATCCTTGGAATTATTACAGGGTGAGGCTTGTCAGGGCAACAGAGGACAGAGATGCAGTTGCTGACAACAAAATACCCCAGAATTATTCTGTATCTTGTAGGAATACTGGAGATATTACTTGACAAAATACCCCCCAAAAAATAGACATCCTTGGTCTCTGATCATTTTTCTTCATCAAGATCTCTGTTCTGTGATGTCACATCATAATACATGCTACAAGTGCATTGCACATGTTCATGTTCATCAACAGCATAGAAGTCAGGTCTTGAAAGGAATGCAAGATTATATTTGATACACAATCTCTTGCTTATCTCTCTCTAGACAACGACTTTTTAAATTACTCTATCACAATAGGTGCATGAGCATGCATTAGCGGAATTAAGAATCGAATATATTTCACCTAATTCTATTAAGATAATATTTCAGAAGAGTAAATCATGCATGATGGTGACATAGTTGAATTCTTCCAAAAAGGAGTGATGATATATCGAGGCACATAAAAGGTTTAACCATGTATCAAGGCTGTCTTTCAGGTTCAATAATAATGACAATCTTATGAATGCACAAATCACCATCCACCAGTGGTTACTTATATGCACCTTTCACTCTCTTAAGGAATAACAGAATATACTTGTTATCTCCAAGCTCACATATTTCATGTTTCTTTAATCCTCCAACCTCTGACCCACTTGATTTGTTCATAGAATGCAACCTCAAAGATGTCATGCAACTCATCACTTTCTAGCTTCTTCTGCCTCCACCAGTGAATTGAAATCATTATCCCTCCAAGAGAAGAAGTGGAACATCATCCTTCCTTGCCCACTCGAGTAACAGAGGGTGGTGCAGTGGTAAACAGGGCAACAAAGCTAGAGGAAACCATGCAAGGATAACTACAGTATAGGAAATGCTAGAGGAAAATATAGGATAAACCATGGTAGCCTAAATAATGCAACTGGTGGATTAATATAAATAAAAAATAAAAAAGACTACAGGAAAGCAGAACTTTTCCTCAGTTAAGCAAATCTCTAGTACAAACTTAGTCATCAGAATCTACGCCATTTTTACTTATCGTCTGTATTATAGCTTCCAATAGTTTGATCTCACTTTCTTTCTTTGATATCTCCTCTTTCTGAGAGCGCAATTCTTCCATGTGTAGCTTGAACACATCTGGAGAAAAGGGCAAAAAAAATGGATATGTCATTGCCAATTCAAATCGTATCCAAAGGATCCAAAAACTCGGACCATTGTTTGACTTGATTCATCTTACGGTGATAAATATTGATTAGTGTACTTCAGATGCGGATATCTCTTTCTCAAACAAAGAAGAAAAAAAGAAGAAAGGAACTTCATATGCAGATATATTATAAAGCATGTAATCAATTTAAATTATAATTACACAACTAAAGGATGAAAAGAAAAAGAAGGAAATCCATACTTGTAGTGTTCTCGAGTTCTCTTGTAAGATCCTGTGCATGTAGTTCAGCAGCCCGCTGAGCTGCCTCAGCCTGTCTTTTGTCAGAACGTGCACGAGCTGCAGCTGCAATTGCAGCATCGAGTTCTTTTTCCAAAGCCTCTACTCTATGTTCAAGAACCTACATAATACAAGAAGGCTCATTTAGTTGAGAAGCCTGTATAAAGATACCAAAATAAGGACAATTACCATTAATCTGGGGTAGCACAACTAGATAAGAGTCATGATTGCCTACTAATAGATTATAATGTGTGCCAGAAGAAAAGTTGGATATTAGTCTAATCTGATTCTACCAGCTTCTACAAAGATTGTTTTGCTCCATCCACAAGCATGCTAATTGAGACCAAAGAGCTTCAAGCTATCACATGACCTGAGAGGGAAGAACATGATGCTAAAGCACAAAATGCAAGCAGAAAACAAGAGTTCAAAAAAAAAAAAACCAAGGTTTTCCAGAACCAACATAAGTTTTAACTTCAAAACCAGAAAATCCATCATAAAAAAAAGATGAAATAATAAAATTGATTGTTTGTAACAATCTAAAATCAAAATCAAAAGTAACTTGTATCCTCTTCAAAATAAAATTGTATTGCTGGTCAGACCGAATTGTCACGGCCTTAGCTGGAATTGCCTAAGACGTGAGGTACCCTTGCGGCAAAGACACGAACTTAGCTTGCATTACCTAAGTCGCGAGGCACCCTTGCGGCAAAAACGCGAACTTAGCTTACGTTGCCTAAGTCGCACTTCGCCCTTACGATTTGCGTCCGCAAAGATCAACCCACTTGCAACCTCTCGTAGGTCCTGAAGGACCTGTAAAAGAGAAAGTTGATTAGTTCCAAGAACGAGCGACGGACAAGTCCCGACGTCTCGCGAAAAAAGGAAGCTTTACAAGCAATTCAACGAGCACCTTGCGTGCACAAGAGAAAAGAGGGAGAGGGGGAAAATAAGGACTTTAGAAGGTTGAACGAAGAGCTGCAAGTCCACAAACAACAGCTCACCGGGTGCCGGGCGCGACAACAAGTTCCCGTCAAGGTAACATGCGAACTTGCGAAAGAGTGTTCAACACCCGACACCCGGTGGACTTGCAACTATTC